AGTTTGGTGCTTGCTGCTCCTCTTAGCGGCCAGCTGGTCGGAGTTGATGGCGTGAGCGAGGATTTATCAGTTTGGTGCTTGCTGCTCCTCTTAGCGGCCAGCTGGTCGGAGTTGATGGCGTGAGCGAGGATTTATCAGTTTGGTGCTTGCTGCTCCTCTTAGCGGCCAGCTGGTCGGAGTTGATGGCGTGAGCGAGGATTTATCAGTTTGGTGCTTGCTGCTCCTCTTAGCGGCCAGCTGGTCGGAGTTGATGGCGTGAGCGAAGCGCGTCAGCATGAGCTAGTATTGCTCAGCTTCAAATCACTCCTCAACGTATCAGCTGTCGGCGACGGCGACGGCGATGGTTTTTGGATGCGGCCTCGCCAAACCGATCAAATAAACAACGAGCGTTTCTGTGCGATGCTCAGACAATTTGGAATGCGCGCAGTAGTAGCGGCTGTCTTAATTGTTGCCCCGCATCAAGCTATGTGTCTGTGCGCGCCGTATTGCATCGTTCGGCAGCTAACAGTTATCCGCCTGGCTGGCTAGCGGTCGAGCCTCTAGGAGAGCGACTGATTGCCCGACTGCACGCCGCCCCTCGTAAAACTGCACGCTTCGGAACCGAAGGTGGACCAGCAAGTCTGCCAACGGCTGCGGAGATCGGCGTCGCCGCGGCAACGTCGCGAATCAGGAAGCCCTATCGCCGAATCGCGTTTTAGGAAGGAGCCGCGACGCTGTCGCCCGCCTCGCCGCTTAACTGTCGCGCTATTGTCCGACGATCCGGCGGTGCGATGTCCACCCTCTCGGACTCTGGGTGCGAGGAGGACGAGGAGGACAGTGCAAAGTGGATCTCGAGTGATGCGCGCACGAATCGTAAGACTGGCGTTGAGCGCCGGAAGCTGAACTCGATGAGTGTGTCCGAGTCGGAAAGCGAGGATTCCGACGCTGAGTGTGATGAGAAAGATGATGAACTAGATGTGGAAAAAGCAGAAACAGAAGAAGAAGAAGAAGAAGAAGAAGAAGAAGAGGGAGAAGAGGAGGAGGAGGAGGAGGAGGAGGAGGAGGAGGAAGAAGAAGATGATAGTGAAGAAGAGGAGGATGAGGAGGAAGAGGAAGAGGATGATGATGACGATCAATCATATTCCTTTAAACTATACATTGCCACAGAGCAGCCGTTGATGAGTGAGTGACATTCAGCCAACATGTGTTGTTGGAATGTTTGTTGTTTTGTTGTGCATTTGTTGTAATTTATTATGTATATATTGGTTTGTTAAGGTACTTAGCTTTGCATATTTGCTGGAATTTGTTGTGTACACATGTGGACTATGTTAACCTACTTGGGTTTTTGCATATTTGTTGAAAGTTATTGTTTGGACACAGATTATGTTGAAGGGTCATAGTAATGACCATGCACTGCAGTGGGCATGTTTCGAGAATGCAATCAAGGTGCCGTTTATGCATGCCATCCCTTGTCTTGAAGCCTTAGCAGTAGTTTATATATCGAGTAAAAACAATTAACATCTTTATATAAAATATTAATATGCGCTTATATATATATATATATATATATATATATATATACATGTATGTATATATATAAGTGCCTATTAATGTTTTATTACCCTTCACTCATGTATACACATTGGCATACATAAAGGTGTATAGACACACAAATTTACATGCATGTCTATGGACGTGCAAGTATGTACACATGAAGGTACATGCACACACAAAATATTTGTGAATGTAATGTAAACGTGACAGTGCATAAATGTTCAGTGTGCACGCGCATGTATATATATATGTGTGTGTTTATGTTCACGTACATACATGCGTACGTGTCGCAAGCCCATGTTGACATAATATAGATAATAATTAAGTTGGCAGGTAATGCCCTCGTAAATTCTCGTGAGTCTTTGTGACAAGTTTAGTAGTGCTTTGATTTCCCAACGGCTTAATTTGGAACCTCGCCGATATAGTGCATTATAGAGTTCTAAATCACTCACGTCGAAAGGGTTGACAGCTAGCCTCTTCTGCATGGATCACTAAACGATCAACTTTAGTCACTAAAAAAAAAATGCAGGCACCACATTTCGATGATATTCGGATACTTTGACGCACGTTTTTGTCCCGCTAGGATTATTTCCATAGGGGAATTGACTACCAGGCAATTACCGATGAGCTCGCTTTCATATTCATTTCGAAAAAGTTATGCGTGGTAATGTGGTTAGTCAGATCCCCACAGTCGCGAACCTGTAAAAATAAACTAGATTAGTGTAACTTACATCATTACTGTGAGAAGCAGAGCAAGCTCTTATCCATAGTAGGCACAACGCATTAAAGTAAGAGTTATTTCCGAAGTGACAATTGAACAATATATGTTGCCATGTTGCACATGTATGCAAACGAAGCCCAGTTTAACAGAAAATAAGACTGAAAGTAGAAATGCTTCATAATTCAAATTGATAGGAACTCCTTTTTAATTCTCCTAGTCTGTTTGTTGTTTAAAACATTGAGAGAAAGACAAAACTTGTTAGGTAGCTGATGCTATATCACCATATGTGGGACTACCAGCTTTAGATACTAATACAGCTGTTCAATTGGTTAGAAGAAACTAATAATAAGCATTGAACGTGTTTAAAGGGCACAAAAATGCAACTAAAATAATAAGAATGCATCATTTAAATTAACATATGTAAAGTAACCTTCATTCAGGTTAATTAATTTGTGTTCTAACTATCGTTTATATAAATGTAATTATGTTGTTATCTTTCTTTAATGCTCATATATGTTGGCTTTGCAATAAAATGTATAAAAATATGTCTATTGCAGCTTTATGTATATCACCGATGACCTGAATTTTTAGACTTTAAAATGGTGTCAGACCACCATCCTAAAGCCACGACAATTTGCTAAAAATATTTTATGGTAAACGTTCGTTACTTATAATGTAGGAAAAGTTTCATTTTTGATAATCTGACACGAGAATTCATTTCTCAAAGTAATGCTTCGTTCAGAAAATTAGCCAGCTGTGCATACACAGAAGAAAGTGAAGTGACAGTTATACCAAATGTTCCCTTCTTGTGTAATTAACTCACGAATAGACTGTACTGCATGAGTTGGTTATTAATAGTGGATCTACAGTCGATTTGAGAAATGGGGTGGCTACACCTCAGATTTTTGACACGTTTTGCATGCGTGTTATTGTGCATTAAACATTCATTTTAATATTGCTAAAAGTGGTTTGGGTTCGGGGTATGAGTTGGAATATAGTCTACAGCATTTACGGTTTCTGTAGCGTATGTGAGTTCATGCGAGTCGTCGCAAAAATTTGTACGCATCGTCTGATGGCCTTTGGGAAAGCCTTGCCTGCGTGAATTTGAATGATTGTAACGGTGCTACTAACTGCAGATACTATTTCTTATGTAAACAGTGAAATAGTAGCTTGTGTGCTAAAGTTGTAGCTTGTAGCTAGTTGCGTAATGAAATTCTATCATTTTACTGTGTGGGAAATTGTTAAATAAGTTTCTAAGGACCTGAACCACAATCTCTCAGTCCGCAGCTGCAGTGGTGTCGGCTATTTCGTGAAGGGTACAGTACACAGTATAGTACCGGATATTTCACACACTTAGCTGAAATGACAACGACGCTGGCGATTGATCAGTGGTGAAAACTGGCAGTTGCTGAGTGCAGTTAGACACAAGATCCCCAACCCTAGCAGAAAGGGACAAGGTCTCAGAAGCACCCGCGTTAAAAGGCCTTGTTAAATGTGCATGGCCCGCCTTGCCATAACTGCGATGTTTCGTAGCTGCGATATTTCATACATTCTGAGAAAAAATGTCACCTTAGAAGCCACGAAATATTGTAGTCGGGACCTAGCTTTGGGCTATTTATAGTTGTAGGGAAGGAGAGCAGGATGCATGCGGAGATTTGGGAAAAGAAATGTTAGCGATGACGGCCGATCAAATCTGGTCCCATGAAGCATCAAACATTTTTTACCCTCTCGTTTCATAATTTATGAATATCTATCATAAAATTTTAATTTTTCAGCATTGAAATTTCATTGTAACTATATTTTGCTCATCGAATACCTCCGATTTTGGTTAAAAAAAAAAGAAGAAGATCGTTTTTTGTTTTCGCCATGTGAATTGCCGAGAAGGTGGGAAATAAATTGTAGTAGTGGGCATGCTGGCAGTATAGCAGTAGTTGTTCTGTAATGTAATACGCATAAGTGGCATTGGCGGTGGAAGCTCTGGCAGCGAAGTCGGTGGTTTCTTGGTCAGTAGGTGAACAGGTGGCCCATGGGGTAGAATTTCGAGTTCTGTCTTAGTTCGGGCTTTCCGTTTCGAGTTCTGTGGACTGGCTAATCGGTCAGTTGAGCGTGAATTCTGAACGTGAGTTATAAGTTCAGGGTATGAGTTGTGCTAGTCTGTCCTCGAACAGTCTTGTAACTACCAAGTTATGCAATATCAACTATGTGTAGTAGCAGTAGCGGCAGCAGCAGCAGCAGCAGCAGCAGCAGCAGCAGCAGAAGCAGCAGCAGCAGCAACAGCAGTCACACACACACACACACACACACACACACACAGTATACCTACGCACACGCACGCCCACAGGCGCGCGAGCCGCGTGAGCGCACACTCACCTGCCCGAACGTACGCCATGCAGGCACTGTGTATCGGTTATTGTTTTAATTTGCACAGTGATATTATAACACTCATTATGTCAGATAAATAGTAAATTGTATTATATATTTCCCCATTCCCCTCATATATTGCTTGTGTTGTATTCCGCAATTACGTCTCTCAGTAATTTACTAAAGAGGCCGCCGGGTTTCGCTAGTTGTCTGTCCGAGTGAAACCAGACCTTGAACAAAATTTTGTATTCGTGCGCGAAATAATTCCGCTTTCGGTCCATAGTAAGCAGGGTTTTCACGACAGAATATAATTATTATATTACCATGAAGATCTAGTTATTAGACATGTTACTTGTGGGCCTATACCTATCATTTTAAACCTGAAAGTACTTTAACGAAGTTGCGGAAGTTTGTCGATCATTTTGGTAGGTTGTTCGGCCCATGTTTGGTAGAATTTATCAGCGTATCTTTAAATGGGAAGTTCCTAAAAAGTAGTGTATAAAGTTAAATTCTACGTGAATTCCCGTGTGGAACACCATGGGAAATGCCGCAACAAGTAAAAAGGGTGATTCAGTTGAGAATGGTAAGTTTACGTGTGTCAATGGTCGTCATTGAAATATCCTACACCTAGTCCTAGTCACAATCTCAGCCGTCGGCACTGTCAAGCACTGATTTTAAAAGTACTACTACTGGCAGTACTGCTACCTAGCGACTCCTGTAGACTAGCCAACGTATGTCATAACATCACTTACATTGAATTTACAAGACGATCGAATAAGTTGTCGATATATATATATTAATATTAAAATGAGTTATGAATGTGAGCTAATAGTAATAGTAATAGTAATAGTAATAGTAATATACTAATAATAAAGTACCCCTAGTAGAAAATAACATGCAGGTTCATTGACATTGTCATGGTGACTGAAACCATTGACATTGCAGTAAGTTAGTATAGTGATTAATTGTGCTAGTGCTTGGTTGTAGGTGAGCTAGAACAGTGCTCCCACTACTAGAACTACTACTAGTACTACTACTACTTGTCCCGGTCTCACCGGGATCGTCCCGGTGCGACATGCTGGTCCCGGTGCCCCGCTAGAGTCCAGAAAGTACTAGTGTTCATGGACTTCCTATACAACCTTTCCTCTGCTGGCAACAACGACAATCACAATACAATTTATACTACACAGTGTTTCCCCTGCATTGACACGAGCGAGGCGGGCTGCCTCGCTCAAATTCTCAGCCGCCACACACAAATTTGTCCAAAATACCGCCTCGATGACGAAAATCACTGTTCTTCCATCAATAAACTACACTTTCTTGAGCTAAAATCGAAATAAAGCTTCAAACGTAAAGCACAACGCCGCGTACTTACGATACTGTCAACACGCGTGACGCGAATCTTGGCAAGGCCTATAGATAAACACAGGTTAAGAAGATGATTGGTCACGTACTTGAGCGCCACAGGCGCCATGTTGACTCCAGCAGCGCTATACCTATGCATACATACGCATTCGTTGAAATAAAATTGCATTTTATGCTGTTAAGCGTTATTAATGCAAATGAGAGCATATAAAAATAATTAACTAATAATATTTTTTTTTTATCTTTGGTTGAATTATGTATTTTTAGCTCATCTGACATAGTCAGATGCAGCTTGTAGAATCGCATGATCGTC